TAGACGAACCTTTGAAAGGATTCATAGTGAACCCTGTCGACCTTCCTTGGTAGTGGGTTAAGAAACTGATCACCTCGGGCGAAAGGGTAAATCATGACTCACAGTGAAAGCGTACAACCTCTGCAGAGTGTAAAACTGGTATATCAGCCGTGTTCACGGTCACGAGTGGCCTTGGACCCTTACGGAATAGATGATGAACACTGATGATACTGATGATAAAGCTGCTCACTAATTATTACTGTTTATGCTATTCATTATTCATGTTTACTTGATCATATGTTTATGGGCTTATAATAAACTTGTTGCTACTCAATTGCTAAAATCATGACTCATTTAAAGCTAATCGTAGTTAAACCAGTGTCAGCCTTTTGAGCCTCATGAACCCCATGTTATATTTGTTGAGTACGACGTGTACTTACACTTGCTTTATTTTCCAATTATTTGGATAAAAATTCTGGATGGGTATTAGATTGCTAGAGTTAGGTGGAATTAGGCTTGTGATCAACCAGTCAGTTGTCCCTGTGGAATTGGAGTTTTCACCCGAAAATTGGAGTTCTCTTTCCAATGTTTGCTATCTAAGGTTGTATTCTTTATACTAAGTACGTTATATATTGAGCATTGTCTATTTATATTACCCTTATTTGTAGCTATATGTGAAATTTGACTTCCTGCACTCACATATGGTGTATATCTGGTTTTGTTGTTAAAACCCGGTGATACAGGTGCCCATCCTTATCTCGAAGTTCACTATTAGATAATTTACATTCCTGGACAGTCGCAATGCCCGCAACACAACCACAGTCTACTCTTACTAAGCCTCGCTATTCTGCTTGTATTTGTGTGAAGAAAATATTCCAAGCAGCCCGTCTGTAAGAACGAAAGAGCCCAATGGTAAGAAAGATATCCCAAGCTCTGCTTGCTGATACAAAGTATGATAATCATTTTCTTGCTGGTTTTCACCTTTTGCGGGGGATTATAGTGGGAGTATGGTTCTTGATGCCTCCTAATCGCTTCCACTGCATCATGTTTCACAACTTTTACTGGTGGTTTCTTGTTGTCCCATAGCTCTATCTCTTGGGAATTCTATCACATCGTGTATTGGTTGTTCCTTATGACTATCTATAATAGATACCGAACACAAAGCAGCTAGGAGGATGTCGCCACGGAGAAACTAGTATATATGTCAAGGATTTGGGTAACATGTGTGGGAAATGACATGGAAAATGCTGAGGGACCTATACTATGCTTTTTGTTCATTAGTCCAATGCTGAGGGAACAAATGAAATTATGATCTATTAAGTGGGCACATTATTGTTCAAATATGATATACAAATCTGTTATTTGTTACAGTGACAAGAATGATCTTGTCTTTATTGTGTCGATGCCCAAAGCACAGTTGAATAATAATCTGAACCACATACAGAGGCATATATCTACCCCGACCTTTCTGTGATGCCACATCATAGGGCAAGGATTCATACCTAGTTTACAGATGGCGTGACGATGGTAAAAAAGAAAAAGTTCACGGGCATGACCTTGACAACAGATGGGTTGACCCATACCTCCAACGTCTGTTCAATTGCCACATCCATGTTGAGGCGTGTGGGAGCATCAAGGCCGTAAAGTATTTGTTTAAGTACATTTACAAGGGTCATGACCACGCGTATGTGGCTGTGAGAGAGGCTGACAAGGAGCACAACGAAGGAAACATTGATGAGATTAACAGTACAGGGATGCTAGATGGATAACTCCACCAGAAGCCTTGTGGAGGATATATGGTTTTGATATAAGTGATAGGTCCCGTTCGGTTGCCCAGCCAAATCCGTTGTCTAGAAAGCCTCCTATACCATCCATCAGAGCAACCAACCCTAATTCTCCTAGCTAGTGCTGCACTGTAGCTCAGTACTGCTTCCCACAGCTGAATCGAGGCTGCGCAGATCTAGCGCTCTACCCTGCTACAAAGCAATGTCTCCATGCTCATTGACACTGCCTCGCTGTTTTTCTGCCACTGAAAACACACCTATGGAAACAAGTCTAAATACAAGTGATCCGCACACAATGAGGGTGTTGGAACACCCTGGCTATGGACACCACCAGAGTCTACTCTAATCAACACCTAAATTTTTAAGAAGATTTAGAAAATAAAAAAAAATATCGCCAGTCTCCCCAGTAAACGGGGCACCTCAACAGGCGAAATTATGTCATAGACAATGAAATACATATCACATCTCATCCCAGGAGGACTATCCCAACAGCAAAGACAAGACCATTTCCAAACCAAAATTTAATCAAGCTCTACTTAAACTATTATTATTGCAATTGCTAAGTATATAATTGTAAGTCTATGCAGAGGTGACTGAAACTTAATCACATTGCCATCACTAAAATTCATGCACACTGTAATTCAGCAGCAAGTGCACATAATCAGTTGAGATGTTCTTGTTAATTAACTGAGATCAGCAAGCTAGTTAATTTACAAAAGGGACTGTCCAACTTGGGACTGCTCAGAGGAAATCATGTGCTCGGCACATTTTCTCACATAAGCACTTCCTGCCCAACTTGCTATAGTGTCATCCTTCTCATGTAAATCTATATCACTTATAAAAACAAACCCCAATACCTTTCAATCTCTACATGCAAGCTATCCACGTGTCGTACCCCACTAAATGCCACATCACCCACCTAATAAATGCTACAACAGCTTCCACTAAATTCAATTACTATTTTAAGTATATCAACGTACAAGGCATCCACAACATCTTTCACTAAATGCAATTACTATTTTATGTATATCAACATACAAGGCATTCCCGTTGTACTATTTGTTTGGCCGTCATATTCTTCTATAGTTCGATCTAATATTCTAAGTGTTTTGCTTGATTCTTTCGTTAGCTTACCCAGTACAACCATTTTATCTTTTAAGAGAGTCCCTCAGCAACGCGCGGGCTGTTGTTCCAGTTTTAATGCACTATAAGCCCCCTAAGATCGCAAGTAGTGTGCTGGCGGCTGTTCGCAACATTCAGAGGTTTATCACAATAATCAAATTAGAAGGTCTCAGCTGTGCGCATGCTGCTCGCAAGCTATCATCCCAAGCGTCTTCATGTTATGAGAAGATAGCGTCATGCCCTTTTTTGTTTATTGCGCGTGATCTTCACAAGAAGAGTATCGAAGCCTAAACACTTTTTAATAGCTGCTATTTCAAAACAAGCACACATTGATGGTGATTGCAAGTTTTTACTATACGACCGTGTTCCTACAACTCGCTGCTAGTTTGATTGAATAAACTAATCTTCCCATGGAGCCTCTCATAAAGATAATGGGTTGCATGGAACACCGCCAGCCGCTTGCCTGTGTCTATTTAACTAAGCATCACGTGTAGCAGCTTCTCACATCTTCCCTGGACAACGCCGCTGTTAAAGTGAACATGAATCATTCATCTCACTGAACAAACTGGCATTGATTATCGTTGCCCTTTCAACTGACGGTGATAATGGATTTTTCTAATTAAAGAAAGCTTGGTGAGCCGTGACGATGAGACCACAAGCCTAATCCAGCACATCGTCGAACCTTGTGACAGAGGCCGTGCGCGTCAGGGGCCACCACGGTAGACACCACGCACGCATGCTGAGGACCTTGCATCAAGGCAACCTTCCGTGAAAGCCACGCGTGACAGGGCCGCCGTGCCTTGTACCACTCATGTTGCCCTTTGGAGAAAGAGGATGTGAGAAGGAGTAAATGGAAGAGCGGGGGAGGGAGAGAGAGTGTCTGCTGCACACGGATTCATTAGATAATATATTAAAATTAATACAGATGAATAAATAAAATAATGAATATGGTCTCCTTTATATTAGATAATATATTAAAATTAATACAGGACGATGACACTCAAAAAATTAGCTACCCACCTTATATTAACAGGTGGACCCACGAGAGAAAGATAACAGGAACACGTGAAACAATCGTGTTTCTCTCTTCGCGCGCCTCGCTCCCTGCGTTTTTTCTCACCCCGCGCGGCCGCGCGTACCCACACCCACCGACGCGGCCCCTTTCTACGTCCTCACCAGTCGCGACGCTTCGCGCCCTCGGAAGTTCGGAGTTGCGCCGCAAGCAGTCTCCGCAGCGGTTCCAGGCCTCCGCCCGTCGGCCCACCACTGCACCTCACAGTCCTTCCAGGGAATCCCATCGTCGCTCTCTCAGGCAACGTAGCCACAGCGGGCACCAGCACCGTACCACCCCCCGCGCCGCCCCCCCGAAGCACAACCACGACGGCACCTCGCCGCTGCCGCTTGGCATGGACTGGAACCCTCCCCTGAAGAGATGGGTAAGCGCCCGCGACCCCGTCTCGCATCTCTCCTACCCAACCCCGTCTGCCTTCATCACAGTCATTTAGGTATGCTGGTACAGGTTTTGTGGTGCCAGATAACAGGTTTCTCAGTCGGACAATCCAAATAAAGTAGTAATCATGTTTACTGCAAATTGACATTGCTATGGTTATGCGGCTGCTGTTTATGATTGAATCAGCATGCCCTTCGATGAATAGGATTCACAAAATTTCAAGTCTCTCTCTTGCTGATACATATCCATTGTTTATATATGATTGAATGTTCTTTGTTTAGACTGATCGGTATCCTTTTGGTTTTGGTGCGACAAGTGTGTACGGTTTCCTTTTATTCTATCTGTGTGTTTGCTTGACGGAAGATGAACAGTACAAGCTAACAGAACTTGCGCATTTGTACTAATCCATGCAGAGACTTGTGAAAATCGGAGGAAAATAATTAGAGATCTAAATAATGTGAAATTAATTTTGCTAAATTCATAACTTTATCCTCTGCCTGTAAAAAATTTGTTTTCATATTTTACTCTAACCAAAATTTCTTCATTTATTATAATGATTTATGTGATTTAGTTTCCTTATGTTGGCAAAAAATAATAAATTTGTGTAGACGTAAGAGGAATGTAAAGCATTAAAAATGTAACGCTCAAGCATTCTGGAGTGCCAAATGTATGAAATAAGAACTGACAAAGTTTGTGTAGGTATGCCTAACAATGAGGAGGAAATTCGGGCCAAAAAACGTGAGAACCAACGAGATAGATATGCTGCATTGCGTAGCGATGAGAAGGACGAAGTTCGATCCAAAAAACGTGAATATCAGCGTAGTCATCGGGCTTGTCTGAAGGCCGAGGCTGATGCATCCAAATTGATTGCACCATGCGAAATCACAGCTCAGAAGGAGGAAGCTCGGGCCAAAATTCGTGAGTATCAACGGGAAAGGTATGCTGCATTTCCTAACCACAAGAAGGAGAAATTTCAGGAAAACAATCGTGAGTACCAACAAAGTCATCGGGCTCGTCTAAAGGCCGAGACTGATGCATCCAAATTGATTGCATCATCTGAAATCACCGATACTAGAATGGATGATAAAGGCAACTCTTGTAAGAGGAAACCGGACTTGGCTTCACAAGTTGATAATATAGGTATTTTGCTTTAGTTTTTGCTCTCCACTTTTTTGTTAATGTTCTTCTTTTGGTTTTTGCTCTTCACTGTCAATTTGGCAATGTTCATTTTAGCAAAAACAGTACTTTTAATTATTTTTGAGCCTTTTAGATCAAGGCACCCGTGAAGACTAGGACACTCTAAAGCACATGGCCAAGAAGAGGTATAGGCATGCAATGCCTGATGATAAGAAGGCTGAGGTCCTTGCTAAAAAACGTGAGTACCAACGTAACTATCGAGCTAAGATGAGTTCTTCCGCCAAGTCCAAGAAATTCTTAGCATCAACTCTTAATATGTCAGGTATGATATTAATATATTTTTAACTATACATGTAGTGTCAAACATGTTAATATCTCAGGCATGATACTGATATATTTTCACCTATACATGTAGTGTCAAAGATTTCAGGTATGGTTGTAATGTTTCCTGCTTAATCCTATCTGTTTTAGGTGTTGGGAAAGGTGTATATCAACGTGATTATGGTGCACAGAAAAAAGTGGATAAAGGTGCTTTCAATTCTGGCATTTGGGAACCAGAAGACACATTGCATGGAATAGAGGGTATGAAAGATTTTAACTGTGTACATGTAGATCACAAAAAAAACATTGTATGTGCAATGAGTAATGGTCTAATATTTTCTTAATAGAAAACGATTTAGATCAACAAAACCCATCAACGACGATGATGAAGCTAGAATGTTTAATGATAAAGGTGAGATTCTGAGGACATTTACTTATATTATTTTTATTGTTGCTCATGCAAACTTCAGAAATCCTGATTTTAAATTGCAGATTTCAAATACGAGTATTCTATAGAATCCACAACAAGAACAAATGGTCATGATCCTTATAACTTTGTGTATGTTGGTCTTCCTCAGACCTATCATGTCTTGACGAAAGTGCAGAACTATTTTTATTGTCGTGCAAAGAGGTTTGAAGGTGAAGGTCCTGCATTTTGTTGTCGGAACGGACGGGTTAATATATTTATACCAGAAGTCCCAGATGAGCTCCGTCGATTGTTCACAAGTCAAATTAATAAGGATGCAAAGTATTTCAGAAGGAACATTCGTTAGTTCAATTCACACTTTTCTTTCACCAGCATGGGGGTTTCCATTGATTGTAGTTTGGCAACAGCAAAGGGTATTAGTATTTATACATTTAAAGCTCATGGCCAAATATATCACAAGTTAGATCAACTTATGCCCGGTGCTAAGGGACCACACCACATGCAGTTATACTTTTATGACACAGATGAGACTAATGTGATCTGCACTATATTGAAGATCATGCAACACAATCCATATGTTCAAGCATTTAAGAGTCTAGGCACTCTTACCAACTTGGATTGCTACGCTATTGAGCTAAATACAAGTATTTCTATTGACCAGAGAAGGTATAATGTGCCCGCAATGGAGCAAGTGGCTGCTATATGGTTTGATGGAAATGACCCACAACAAAGGTTTGAGCGAAGCATAGTCATTTACAATAAAGAAAATCAACCTCATTATATAAGGCCATACCATGGATGTTATGATCCATTAGCATATCCTATGTTCAATCCTAATGGTGAAACTAGTTGGGAGGATAAGAAGATTTTATATCAAGACTCACCTCCATCAAAACCGAAGAGAAAATATACTAAGCGTGTACAAAAAGTTGGTTTTATTTGTTATTTGCATAATAAACAATAAACAATTTAAATTTTTTCCTCAAAATCTCATTAACAACTAACTACAAATTTCTTAGTTTTATATTTATATTATATTTTATTATATAGGCCCAACGCTTGTTCAGATTAATGATGTCTCGGAGATGAACGTACATGAAGAAGAAGGTTATTTTCCTTTGCAAAATTTTTTATCTATTCGAAATATTATTAATTATTATTTTTCTGAACATGATGAAGTTAAAATGTTTCAGCCATTTAATAAACTCAAAATAGAATGAAATTTAATCTTTTTTGTTGTTATTATGAACACAAATTACAGAGTCACGGCGATACGTCAGCTCCAGGGAATATCTATGTTTCACGAATTCGTGACAAAGAATTTAATGTCATGTTTCATGGTGGGAGGCTTTTTCAGCAATGGGCTGTTGATATGTATGTGAAGGTGGAGTCAATGCGATTAGATTGGTACTCAAAACCGGCGCATCAAGATCTATTTCATGCTGATCTATACCAGGTTAGATGTATTTGAGTTGAAAAGTTGATATTTTCTATTTTCAAATCCAAGGAAAACCTATAATATTTTAACACATATATTCACCAGGGCCTTCTAGACACTCTTGACACTAGAGAAGCCCGTGTGTCACAAGCTGGTCGTAGAATTGTACTATCAAAAGATTTCCCAGGAAGTGACCGTGATGTGCACTCAAGGTATATGGATGCCATGGCTTTGATTACTCGATATGGAAAGCCAGATTTTTTGTGACAATGACATCCAATCCATATTGGGATGAGATAGTAGAACAATTATTGCTAGGACAAATGCCATAAGATTGTCCAGATATCGTGGCAAGAGTTTATAGAGCAAAGCTACGAGACCTTCAAGATTTCCTTCTTAAAAAAATCATTTGGGCAAGGTTGTTGCCTGGGCACATGTCACTGAGTTTCAAAAAAGGGGATTACCACATGAACACTTCCTTTTGGTTATGGAAGATGAGAGCAAAGTACGTACTCGCGATGATTATGACAAGTATATATTGGTAGAGCTTCCTGATCAGAAGAAATATCCCAAATTGCATAGACTTGTGTGCAAACATATGATGCATGGACCATGTGGTGTCCTCAACCGTAAGTGCCCATGTATGATAGATGGTAATTGTCGCTTTCATTATCCCCGTGACTTTTGTGAAACCACCCTGTAGGAAAAGAACTCATATCCTATTTATAGAAGGAGAGATGATGAACAAAAAGTAAAAATAAGAAGGGAATGGTTGGACAACAGATGGGTTGTGCCATACAATCCAATCCTTCTAATGAGGTATAATTGTCATATTAATGTAGAGGTTTGCAGCAGCATAAAGTGTGCCAAGTATCTATACAAGTATGTCTTTAAGGGCCACGACCGTGTTTCGACTTCGATAATCAAGCTCAGGCAAATATGAATGGGAAACCACTGGTTATTAATGAGATTAAGCAGTATAGAGATGGAAGGTGTATAACAGCTATAGAGGCAATCTATAGATTATACGGTTTTCCTTTGTATGATATGTCACCTTCTGTGTTACAAATGCAAGTTCACCTTCCAGGAAAGCATATGGTTGCCTACAAAGCTAGGGATGATCTAAACAATGTTGTGCAAAATCCTAACTCTCAGAGGTCCATGCTTACATAGTACTTCAGCACAAACATGTATGATCTTGGTGCACGAAAGTATTTATATAGAGTTCCCTGAGCACTTCACTTGGATAAAGTCAAAAAAGTTTTGGAAACCTAGAGAAAGAGGTGGTCAGATTGGAAGACTGGTGTATGCCCATCCTGTTAAAGGAGAGCGATACTATCTCCATGTGCTTCTTAACCATGTGAGGGGTGCAACTTCATTTGAGCATGTTAGAAGTCGACATGGAACTACATATGCAACATTTAGAGATGCCTATGAGGCCTTGGGCTATGTGGAAACTGACAAGAGCCTAGATAACCGCCTCACTGAATCTGCACAATTTAAGATGCCTTGTGCTTTGAGGAGGTTATTTGCAACTATCATAGTTTTCTGCGAGTGTAATAATGTCCGAGCACTATGGGACAAACATATTGATTCAATGTCTGAGTATTATCGTCGCTCAAATTGCAACTCCAAAATGGCTGAACAAATGGTGCTTAGAGATATATCTATACATGTTAAAGATATGGGTAGAGACATTACAAACTATGGACTTCTAGAACTAGATGCCTCAGGTAAACTGATAAATATTAAAATTCCCTAAAACTTTTTTTATTAATAATTAATAATTAATGCTTCTTATTCATCATTTTGAATTTTGAATGACCCTTTACACTTATTTGATTAGATGAGATGTCAAGAGACCATTATAGAGAGGTTACAGAAGAATTGAGTATTGGATATGAAGAAGAATATCTGAAAATGATACAAACACTGAATGCTGAGCAGAGAGTTGGGTTCGACTTGATTATGAATCATGTGGAGAAGAAAGTTGGCCAGGTATTTTTTGTCGATGGACCAGGAGGATCCGGCAAGCCATATCTTTATAAGGCTTTGCTTGCAAAGGTGTGCTCCATGAATCTTATAGCAATTGCTATAGCCACATCTAGTATTGCAGCAAGTATCATGCCCGGCAGACGCACTACACACTCCCACTTCAAGATTCCCACAAAGCTAGATAATAACACTATGTGCAGCTTTACAAAACAAAGTGGTACTACTGAATTGCTTCGCAGGGCTGCCTTGCTAATATGGGATGAAGTAGCCATGACAAAGACACAAGCAGTAGAAACACTCGACAAAACATTGCAAGGTATAATGGGTTGCAATCAACCTTTCGGTGGTAAGGTCATGTTGTTTGGAGGTGACTACAGACAAGTTCTTCCCGTTGTATGAGGAACAAGAGCACAGACCATTGATGCTACTTTACTAAAGTCATATATATGGGACAATGTACGAAGGATTCGGCCTACCCAAAATATGCGAGCTAAAAATGATAATTGGTTTGCAGAGCACCTATTAAGAATTGGGAATAGAACTGAAAAAACATTTGGTGATAATTAAGTTCAATTGCCTAATGATATCATCGTGGAATGGAGGCAAAATTCCAATAAGAATGCAAATAAAATAAGTTCAGAAGATAATCCAATTGACATCCTTATCGAACAAGTGTTTCCAAAACTCAAGGCAAATTGTACCTCTGCAGATTATATGCATGAACATGCGATTCTTTCTACTACAAATGAGCATGTCAATGCAATGAATACAATAATAATCGAGAGGTTTCCTATAAATGAGAAGGTATACTACAGTTTTGACTCAGTGGATGATGATACAAGGAATAATTACCCTCTTGATTTTCTAAATTCTATTACACCTAATGGGTTGCCTCCTCATGAGCTTAAGGTTAAAAAAGACTGCCCTGTTATCCTACTACGTAATCTTGATCCTCACAACGGTCTTTACAATGGCACTAGATTGGTCATTAGAGGATTTCAGAACAATACAATTGATGCTGAAATAGTTAATGGAGATCATGCAATAACCAAAGTATTCATACCAAGGATTCCCATGTCCACCTCCGAAGACCTTACATTGCCATTCAAGTTCATGCGAAAGCAGTTCCCAATAAGATTGAGTTTTGTAATGACAATAAATAAAGCCTAAAGTCAGACCATACCAAATGTTGATGTGTATCTCCCTGAACCAGTTTTCTCCCATGGCCAGTTGTATGTAGCACTGTCAAGAGGTGTTTCTCGTAAGAGTGCGTGGGTTTTGGCCAACATAAATAAGGATGTTTACCCCACTAGAAAGAGCACAAAAAATATTGTCTTCAGAGATGTATTAGAGATGTGACACCAGTACATTCAATAATTTTCAAAATGATATATGTGAATACTCTCCAGAGTTTCATTGTTATTATTATTGTTTCATTACAAAGATTTTTTTTATAAGCACGTGCATGCCGCACGTTCGTTTCTACTAGTTTAGGTTTAAGACTCATGTTGGTTTTGGAGAAAGAGGAAGAGAGAAGGAGTAAATGGAAGAGCGGGTGAGGGAGAGTGCGCGCGTGTGTGTGAGAGTTTGTGGCCGGTAGGAGAAAAGAAGAAGAGGCACATGGGTCCGTCGATCCATGGCCCCACCCGTGCACTAATCATGTGGTGACATACAGCCAAGTAGACCCTGCTTGTCAGTTGACCTGGGAAAGCACACGCAGGGAGACGGTGTCAATGATTTTCACCGATGGTTCGTAATATGAACTGACAGTGAAAATGATTTTGACCGTCTGTTTGTATTACAAAGCATCGTTGAAAAGCATTACCAACCATTTTTATAAAACTAGCAGTGGAAGTGTCGCTGGCGAAAATGCTTTCTTTCATAGTGACAATGCATATGAGCATAAATGTAAA